ATTTAGCAATCTCACTAGTTTAGTTCCATTGGTGTTTGTTAAGACCCATCCAATAATTCTTATGTCTGGCATTAAAATAACCAAGAATGATGGTAGGTTCACTATTGATGCGATCTGGTAAAGCATCAGGTCGATGTGGTTCGTGGGGCATAGAGTTTAAAAAATGTTTTGGAAAATCCCCTGCATATACTTTGAACCATGTATGCTGTTAACTCGACTTGCAAGGAAAGGAGTGAATATGGCAAGTTTTTTCTGACATACATACACAACTTTTGGTTGCCTTGGGTTTATAAGTGCATACCCAGGAAAGTTGGGGGAGGTGCCCCATCTTCCAGTTACTTTCCCTGCAAACGATGACACATATTTTTGGTGAGGAGGGGGGGGGGGGGGGAGGGGGGGGGGGTTAACCCTGGAGAAATTATAGAAAAAAGACTTCCCCAAAGTTTATATCAGTAAATTGGTCAGACTCTTTGCTACTGTAGCAATTTTAAAGTACTCTTAAAGTGTATATGGATGGCATAATGATAGTAAATTTTCAGCAGCTATGTGATGTATACCCCAAACCCCTGAGGATAGATTTGCTGATGCTAAAAAATGTACATAAAAAAAATTAGATAAATAGAAAAAGGAGAAATTATAAAAAAAGGAGGTCAGATGCGAAAAAGGGAACCATTATCAATGTATACTTTTTGTCCTTTCTCTCTCTACTCCCCCTTTGTGCGACACTTCCCCTTTTGCTGCGGACACTCCCTTTGTGCAGACACTTCACCTTTGCTGCAGACACTGCCTCTGCTGAGACCTTCCCTTTGCTGCAACATGCCTCTGCCGACACTTCAGCTTTGCTGCGACACGCCCCCTGTGCAGACACTTCCCTTTTGCTGCAGCACTGCCTCTGTGCAGACACTTTACCTTTGCTGCGCACGCCTCTGCTGCAGACACTTCCCTTTGCTGCGACACGCCTCTGCTGCAGACACTTTACCTTTGCTAAGACACTTTACCTTTCACAGACACTTTACCTTTGCTACGCCCTTTACTTTGCTACAGCACTTTACCTTTCTGCAGACACTTTACCTTTCTGCGACATTTCCCTTTGCTGCAGCACTTTCCCTTTGTGCGACACTTTACCTTTCTGCAGACATTTACCTTTGCTACAGAACTTTACCTTGCTGCAGACCTTTACCTTTGCTGCGAATTCCCTTTTGGGCTGAGACACTTTACCTTTGCTGCAGAACTTTACCTTTCTGCGACCTTACTTTGCTACAGACACTTTCCTTTTGCAACATTTACCTTTGTGCAGACATTTTACCTTTGCACAGACACTTCCCTTTGCTACAGACACTTTACCTTTGCTACAGACACTTCACCTTTGCTACAGACACTTTACCTCTGCTGCAGACACTGCCTCGCTGCAGACATTTTACCTTTGCTGCAGACATGCCTTGCTGCAGAACTTTACCTTTGCTACAGACACTTTACCTTTGCGAGACACTTTACCTTTGCTACGCAATTTTTTATTTTGCTAAGACACTTCACCTTTGCTAAGACACTTTACCCTGCTGCAGACACTGCCTCTGCTGCAAACATTTTACCTTTGTGCAACACTGCCTCTGTGCAGACATTTACCTTTGCTACAGACACTTTACCTTTGCTGCGACACTTTACCTTTGCTCAGACACTTTCCCTTTGCTGCAGACACTTTACCTTTGTGCAGACATTTACCTTTCTGCAGAATTTTATTTGCTGAGCACTTTCCCTTTTTGCTCAACACTCACCTTTGTGCGCACTTTCCCCTTTGCTGCACACTTTCCTTTGCTGCAGCATTTCCCTTTGCTGCAGACACTTTACCTTTGTACAGACACTTTCCCCTTTCTGCAGCACTTTACCTTTGCTCAGCACTTTCCCTTTGCTACAGAACTTCCCTTTTGCACAGAAATTTTCCCTTTGCTGCAGCCCACTTCACCTCTGCTACAGACACTTTCTTTTTTCCCTCTTACACTGGTTAGTTTTATCACAAAACCCACGCCCCTAAAGCCGGTGCCCCCTGCCCCCTCTGTGGCTTTTTTCCACCATCACTTTCCCTTGGTTGCTTTCTTATAACCCTTACTTATTATTATTTAATCGGGGGGGAAGCGCAAACCCGGAGGTTATACAGCGCCTGGGGGGGGGGATGTGGAAGGCTTCAGGCTTAATTCGGGAACTGAGCACAACCCAAATTCCCTAAATCAAGACCCCCTCACCAACATCAAGGGAACCTTCCTTGGGGGGAAATCAAGGGGGGGAAGCGTAAACTATAACCCTTCAGACTTAGTATTTCCTTGAAATTATAATTCTGTATACATGCATTTCGAATTACTACCCCCTTCAAAAATAAAATCAAAATTACAGTAACAATATTTTTTTGACGGTGTTGGTTTATGAAGAAATTTTTAAAATTTAAAATCATGAAGGTATATTGGAATGGCACAGAGACGTACCACTGAAAAATTTCAAAACCTTTGTAATATCTTTTTTATTCCAGGGGGGTTGTAACATGTTTTTGGTAAAGTATCTTCTGTGTTTGTTTTTTTCTGTGCTAGTCGTTGCCCGAGTTTTTAAAGTTACTAACCACCATATATTCACTAGGTATTTTACCCACTGAAAAATTCTTGCGGACATTCAGAACAATAATTAGAGAATTTTAATTTTGCCATCCTTTTTATTAACAAAGTTTATATATCTTTGATCCCAAACCCCAAAAAATTTACAAAAAGTGGAAGCACTTACTTCTTATATAGTACTTTCTTTTATTTTGTAAAAAAAATGGTATTATAAGACTTGATTTGAGTGTCTTTAAAAAAATTTTTTGAAAAGGGACTTTTAAAAACATCTCCATATTTTAAAAATATTCCCTTTTAGAACACTAGAGGGGAAAAAATTTTCTTAGAATAGTTGTTCCTGTTGGTGTCTTGCCAGTATGTTTTTTTGTCATGCATATGTATTTTTTTTTTTCAAACGCCCGGGCCGTCTCCCATTAGGCAGGCTGACCCCCAAAATTTAAAGAAACACTTTCGCCCTCATTCAAAAACATGATTGGAGTTCAGATGTATTTTAAGCTTTTTTTCATGCATTGGGGAAATGGAGAAAAATTCTTCCTCCGTAAGTCATGACGTCATAAAGGGGACTAAAAAAAAAGGAGCAAAGGTGCTAGAACCCCCTTTTCCCCCTATAAATTACAAATGTAAAAAAAAAAAAGCTTTTTTTTTTTCCTTATTTTTTTTGGGGTCACCTGCCCTCGTGGGGAAAAGGTCGAAGGTTAAAAAAAAACTTTTTTTATACGCTAACTAGTGGGGTGGAAAAGTGAGGTTTGTGGAAGGTGTAGACGGTGGGGGAACTTCCCCAACCCTTTTTAAACTTGCAATTTTAAAAAAAAAAATTCATTTTTAAAGTAATTTTGTTCAGTATTTAAATTATAATTTTTTTTTTGACACTGGTATCTTCCACTGAGGCGAGAGAATCAATAAGAGGAAAAACATTCACCCATTCATTTAATTATGTCTTGCTAAAAGTATGCTGACTCATAGGAATGGGTCTCCTAACTGCAGCTTCTCAGCCCCCCTTGATGTGTTTTAATATCAAATTGCATTTTAATTTTTAAATTTAAAGGCCCTTTTCCAGGTAGGTGATTAAAAAAAACACATGCACCATTAATTATTCAGTTGCTTTTTTTTTTATAAAAGTGTACAAACCAAATGAAATCTTTTATGTCTAAATAAAATGTTTTGGGGATTTTTTGTATTAAACATCGGCTGTTTCCCACCAAACAGGCGACCAAAAAAAAAGAAAACACTTTATCATCATTTACTCCTCACTGTCTTTTTAGAGATGTGCGACGCAAATTTAAAAATTTAATGCAGTATATCTCCCCCACCTTCAGATGCAGGCATTGTGCTTCCCCCCTCCCGGATAAGTCTGGGTAACCGTTTCCCCGAAACCCTTCATAAATTTGCTTTGCTCACACTCCCAACAGCACGTCAAAGTTTAAAATCATTTGCTCCTAATGCTATATAGAAAAACCCAGAAACCAGTACATTGGTTACGTCAGTGTAAACACAGAAATTTCCTGGATTTACCTGGAGAGATTCCGGGAGTCAACGCCCCCGGCCCGGTCTGTGACCAGGCCCTCCTGGTGGTCGAGCCTGATCAACCGGTGTTACTCGGCTGCATGGAAAATCAAAATATGAGCCCCCAGCCCCGGCTGTCAGGTACCCACAGGTCCCCCCATCATTTACATTAAATTTTTGTTTTCAGATGTTTTTTCATTTTAATATTGAATGCTTAGTTTGCTTTATTTTTTTTGATAAGAAAGTAAAAAATTTTCGTTCGGGTTTTTAACCCCGGAGGGGGGTTGGCCCCCAGGTAACCCAAAAGTCAGTGCGTCATCGGGACTGTCTAACTTATTTCCATTTGGGGGCCTTAATCTTGTCCCCCAGGATGCGACCCACACCCTCGATAACACCCAGGTACCCATTTGTGCAGGTGAACAGGACAACAGGGGTAAGGAAACGTGTTAAATTTTCCCCCCGCCGGGAATCGAACCGGGCCCTCCGTTGTGAAGCGGGAGCTTTAGCCACCAACCAGGTTGGTTGTGTCAAATGGTTTTTATGATTTGTGTGCTGTGGAGTTTGAGCAAAGGTATTTTTTATGAAAGGGGGTTTAGGAAACTGGGTTTGCCAACTCGGTCCTGGAGGTGAGAGGGACAATACCCGCACTCCCAGGGGGAGTGAGGGCATTTAATTGCGTGTCTGCACTTTGGCGTACACTGACTGAATAACGTGAGGGTTTTTTCTTTTTTTTTGGGCGCCCCCCCGACTGCCAGTGTTAAAAAATCTATTTTAATAAATAGGATTTTCGAAAATTTTTTTTGTTTTTAAAAATTTTTTTTTCAGTAAAGAGTTGATGTTTCAAGTGGTAACACTTACAATTTTTCAACTAATTTATCAACCATTTTTCCCTTTTTTAAGGCAGTCTCAAATTACCTCGGTTGGGAAATGATGGATGGTGTTGCACATTACGCTGTTTTGCTTGTTGGGACTTTAATACGCACGTTGGCAGGTAAAAGCTCTCCTGAAGCAGTTTTCAGCACTGTTCTCTAGTAAGAAGGGAAATGTCTGCCAAAATTTGCATCACTTAAACCACATGTCCCTGTCCCTGTTTACCCATCAGTTTAAAATGGGTACCTGGGAGTTAGTTAGTGGACTGGTGTGGGTGGCATCCTGGGTGTTAGTGGACTGGTGTGGGTGGCATCCTGGGAGTTAGTGGACTGGTGTGGGTCACATCCTGGGTGTTAGTGGACTGGTGTGGGTGGCATCCTGGGTGTTAGTGGACTGGTGTGGGTCACATCCTGGGTGTTAGTGGACTGGTGTGGGTGGCATCCTGGGTGTTAGTGGACTGGTGTGGGTCACATCCTGGGTGTTAGTGGACTGGTGTGAGTCACATCCTGGGTGTTAGTGGACTGGTGTGGGTGGCATCCTGGGTGTTAGTGGACTGGTGTGAGTCACATCCTGGGTGTTAATGGACTGGTGTGGGTGGCATCCTGGGTGTTAGTGGACTGGTGTGGGTGGCATCCTGGGTGTTAGTGGACTGGTGTGGGTGGCATCCTGGGTGTTAGTGGACTGGTGTGGGTGGCATCCTGGGTGTTAGTGGACTGGTGTGGGTGGCATCCTGGGTGTTAGTGGACTGGTGTGGGTCACATCCTGGGTGTTAGTGGACTGGTGTGAGTCACATCCTGGGTGTTAGTGGACTGGTGTGGGTGGCATCCTGGGTGTTAGTGGACTGGTGTGAGTCACATCCTGGGTGTTAATGGACGGTGGTGTGGTGGCATCCTGGGTGTTAGTGGCCTGGTGTGGGTCACATCCTGGGTGTTAGTGGACTGGTGTGGGTCGCATCCTGGGTGTTAGTGGACTGGTGTGGGTCACATCCTGGGTGTTAGTGGACTGGTGTGGGTCACATCCTGGGTGTTAGTGGACTGGTGTGGGTCGCATCCTGGGTGTTAGTGGACTGGTGTGGGTGGCATCCTGGGTGTTAGTGGACTGGTGTGGGTGGCATCCTGGGTGTTAGTGGACTGGTGTGGGTGGCATCCTGGGTGTTAGTGGACTGGTGTGGGTCACATCATGGGACAAAACTGACAATTTGCAGGAAATGCTCAGCATAACAAGGGACTTTCTATATAGTAGTATGTCACTGATGTCAGCTATGATCTGTATACCTTGTACATGTACTTGTATACCTTGTACATGTACTTATATACCTTGTACATGTACTTGTATACCTTGTACATGTAGTAAATAAAGATATTATATTATTTGGGTTCAGGCCTAATAAAAATACTAATGATGCTATTATACACATGCTGGAACATATTTATACAGCAATAGAAAAAAAAAAAGTCCCACTGGGGATCTTCATTGACTTACGTAAAGCTTTCGATACAGTTGACGACGACTTGCTCCACATAAAATTGTCACACTATGGTATAAGAGGGCACTCCCTCAACTACCTAAAGTCATACCTCAGCAACAGAAGCCAATATGTGTACACAAATGGGGCAAACTCTTCCGCACAGCCAATTACAGTTGGTGTCCCACAGGGCAGTGTCCTAGGCCCTCTTCTCTTTCTCATATACATAAAAAATGACCTACCAAATGCATCACAACTACTCAAACCCACATTATTTGCAGATGACGTCTACTCTCACCCGAGCCCAGTCATGCTAGCCAATACTGTAAATACCGAATTACAGAAAATATCAACCTGGATGAGGACCAACAAACTTACTCTAAACATTGACAAAACCTACTACATTCAGTTTGGTAACAGAGCTACAGATGTGTCTCTAAACATAATGATAAATGGATCACCTATCACAAAACTCACAGAAGGAAAGTTCCTAGGAATCCACCTTGATAATATACTCAAATTTCAAACACATATACATCAAATTTCCAAAAAAATTTCCAAGACCGTAGGCATACTATTGAAGATACAGTACTATGTTCCACAGTCAGCCCTCCTGGCCCTATATCACTCACTTATTTACCCCTATCTCACCTATGGAATTTGTGCATGGGGCTCAACAACAATAAACCATCTCAGACCAATAATCACCCAACAAAAGGCTGCAGTCAGAATGATAATAAATTCCCACTACAGACAACACACTCCACCAATATTCAAAACTCTAAACCTACTCACCATACAAAACATCCATACTTATTACTGCACCTACTACATACATAGAACACTTAACTCTGACATAAACCCTCCCCTCAAACATCTCCTTACCAACCTTAACAGAACACATGACCATAACACAAGACACAGATCATGATGTTCCTCGTGTCCATCTCACGTTATGCAAAAACTCAATGCACATAAAAGGCCAAAAATCTGGAATTCAATACCTGTGAATATAAAAGAAACACTGTTTATAAATTCAAGTCTCTTCTCAAAAATCACTTACTCACTCACAACTAAATAAATACTGAATAATTGTATCTCATTATTGTATCTCATAAATGTCAACCTGTGACCCAATCAAACTTTGTAACTATTTAACTTCATTACCCAACAAAATACTCCATTCTACTGATTACACAGCAACACAGTAAATGACCATATGACCTGTCTTTGTAATACTCATTTGTACTAAATTGTTATCTGTTTACAATAATTTTTGTACCACTGAATATATCATTGCTTAGTTAATCTTAAGTTAATTTTAAGCCTGCCCATAATGTGCTGCATACAAGGGGCTTTGGTATGCTGCACTTTAACCCTTTGAGGGTTTCGGACGTACTAGTACGGCTTACGACCCAGGGTTTTTGACGTACTAGTACGCCTAAATTCTAGCGCCCTCAAATCTAGTGGGAGAAAGCTGGTAGGCCTTCATATGAAAGAATGGGTCTATGTGGTCAGTGTGCACAGTCTAAAAAAAATCCTGCAGCACACAGTGCATAATGAGAAAAAAAAAAAAAAAAACTTTGACCGTTTTTTGGGAATAAAACAGCAACTTTGCACTGTATTTTCGTATGGTATTTATTGTTGTATTCTAGTTTTCTTGGTCTCATTTTATAGAATGGAAGACATATTACAGAAATTGAGATGATTTTGACTGGTTTTACAATGAAAGATAACTTGAAATTGAGCTCAAAGTAGCAGAAATGTTCGATTTTTACCAAAGTTCAAAAGTAAACAAATCATGCCAAGTGTCCAATACACGTCAACTGGTGAGTCTAATATTCTTTCACAAGTGAGCCAATATTATTTACACCATTTTTTACACTAATGCAGTAGTCTGCATAACAGTAAATCTTATATTTTTTGTGAGAATAAAAATTCAAAGTGGAAAGCAAAAGAATATAAGAGGGGCCTTGAGACGTGACTAATGACCAGAGGAAATGTCATTTTAGTGCCAGGAATGTCTTTCTTGTTTATTCTGGACCCTATTTGGAAATTGGCATCTTTTGAAATTTGTATGAAATTGGCAAAATTGCTAAATTCTGACCACTGTACTGGATAGTTGAATTTCATAAATGGGTGGTTTCTTGCACCCATTCGATAGAAAAAATGGAGTTCTAGCGAAATATTCATGTTTTTTGTCGACTAGTACGGTAGAATTGGCCGAAAATGGGGCTCAAAGAGGGCAAAATTGCCGATGCGTAAATATCCCCGAGACCGCTAACTTCACGAGAGCATAATTCTGTAAGTTTTCCATCAAATTTCAAACTTTTGGTGTCCTTATGATCGGGAAAAGATTCTCTATCTTTTCATAAGAGAATTTTTTTTTTTTTTTTAAATTTGGCCGACCCTGAGAACGAGTTTCGGATAGGGCCTGTCGACCCTCAAAGGGTTAAAAATTGTATTCCTTGTACTTCTCTGTATCATGTTCAAATAAATAAAAAATAAATAAATAATTATTATTAATTAGTCCTCCTAATTATTATTAATTAGTCACCCTGGGTATAATTGTTATATCATTCAAGTACAAATCTTACCTCTGGGGCACTCGTGTCCTGCCCAGAAACAGGAAGGAGATGATCCTGCCCAGCTGGAGGTCACAAGAGTGAGTGACCCAGCTAAGCTCCTCCCATCAACCCACCAAAACAAAAGACTGTTGACATGCCCAGTTCTTTAATTACAATAATTTTGTTTTTCCCATTACTACACCTTATTTTACTATTGCAAAAAGAAATGCAAACTTTATAATCTACTTATTTTCACTGTGTGTGTCTATAGTACATCCTATTCATATTGAAAAAAAAAAAAAAGAGGCTTGACTCGATTGACTTTTTCCCCCATAAGATTTATCTGCCCTTATGACAGAATTAAAGCAGTTGTGCCCCCATCACTTCAGTATAATTAGGTATTCCAGAGTAACCATTACTTAGATAACATGGCCTCATAACAGGGCTGATGTGCTAATAATAAATCCAGAGTGAGTTTGCGTTTCATATTACACATTAAAATTTCTCCATGAGGAAGTGGAGAAGAATCTTTCCTCCGGAAGTCATGCGTGTCGTAAGAGGCGACTAAAATGCCGGGAGTAAGGGGCTGGTAACCCCTTCTCCTGTATACATTACTATTATTATTATTATAATCAAGGGGGAAGCGCTAAACCCGGAGGATTATACAGCGCCTGGGGGGGGATGTGGAAGGCCTTCAGGCTTAATTCAGGGAACTGGAGCACAGATCCAATTCCCTAAATCAAGAGCCCCTCACCAACATCAAGGAACCTTCCTTGAGGGGTATACATTACTAAATGTAAAAGAAGAAAACTTTACTTTTACTGTATTCTTTTTTGGATCGCCTGCCTTGGTGGGAGATGGCTGTTGCGTTGAAAACAAATATTAAAATTTATCTTTCCTTGGTCGACAGGATTGGCAGTGGCAAGTTGGCGCAGCATCCATTTTTCTAGGGTGGATAAATCTGCTACTCTTCATCCGCAAGTTTCCTTTCCTAGGCATCTACGTTGTCATGTTTACCGATGTTTTTGCTACGTTTCTCAAGTTCTTCACTGTCTTCTTACTCTTCATTGTTGCCTTCGCTCTGAGCTTCTACACGGTAAGTCTAATTATTATAATAATGGGGAAGCGCTAAACCTGTAGGATTATACAGTACCTGCAAGGGGTTATGGATGGTATTCAGGCTTAATTCTGGGAACTTGAGCACAGATGCAATTCCCTAGATCAAGAGCCCCTCATCAGTGTCAAGGAACCTCCCTTGAGGGGTCGGCAAGTCTAAATCGACTGTCTTTAATTAATGTACCTGGGATAATGTTATGAAAATATATCTACTGAAGATACAAGTGAACTAACAAAATTATTTGTTATTGATTTATAGATATAACACTATGGTGTGTTGTAAAAAATAATGTACTGTTTATGAAAACTCGACTTATAAAATTGAATTGTTCGTGCTACTGATGAATATTTCTCTCTTTTTCTTTATTCTTCTCTCCTAACTTTGTCCTTTTTCCTTCATTTGTTCTCTGTCTCTCACTTCCTCTCCTCTATACTTTTTTTCTGTTTTTTATTTTGTTTCAATGTAGGTCCTGAAAAACCAAGAACCCTTTAGAACACCAACCAACTCACTGCTAAAGACAACAGTGATGATGATCGGAGAGCTGGAGTTTGACGCCATTTTTAACGAAGAAAAACTTGAAGTAAGACTGCCAGATATCACAAATAAAATTTAAAAAACTGAAGGCATAGGATAACTTTTACATTATCAAGAAGACAGGGCATTTTTTAAGTTTATTTTTTTCCAACAAGCTGGTCATATCCCACCAAGGCATGGTGACCTAAAAAGAAAAAGAAAGTTTCTCTTCTTGAAGGTATTATAATCAAAACTAAGCACTAAACCCACAAGGGTCATATAGCAGAAGGTAGTATTGCCACTACTACTGTCTTCAAAAATGCCTTGACATCTGCACTCCTATTGTATGAGGCATTGTGCGACAAGAGAATAAGCACCGCCAAGGCCAAAATTTTAATGAACTGATTTCTTAATATTTCTTCTGGGAATGTGTAGATTCTTCTGCATCTGTAACACAGACTCAGAGCTTCATAAAGTAAGCCAAGTCCTCACTTAACATGTTTTGTTCAATGTTGTTTTGTTATAACGTCGACGAGAAAAAAAAATCGATTCGTAGCTAGGGCCACTATCTGTGTGGAGTTTGCACCTTCCATTTCTGAACTGCCTGGTGGTAGGAGGTGTTACTTACAATTTTTGCTTTGCAAACATTTCTTCCTTGATTTAACCTTGTTGTAATCAATCAATCAAGTTTATTGTCTATAAAGATTACAAAATGAGTGATAAAGGTACACTGTGCACTCCCCTCATGTTTATATCAGTAAGAAAGCCAATGGAAATCAGTCACTGACTTTTTTTTGGGTTATATGGAGTATACCTGGAGAGGGTTTCGGGGGTCAGTGCCCCCACAGCCCAGTCTGTGACCAGTCTTCATGGTGGATCAGGGTGTGATCAACCAGGCTGTTACTGTTGGCTACACGCAACCCGACGTATGAACCATAGCCCGGCTGGTCAGGTACTGACTTCAGGTGCCTGTCCAGCACCACCTTGAAGACAGTCAGGGGTCTAACGGTAATCTCCCTAATCTCCCTTATATATGCTCGTTTCATTACACAACTTTTTGCCCAAAGTCGCAATTTCTAAGAACAAATCAACGATGTTAAGTGAGAACTTACTGTATTGTAATGGGAGTTTCATAGCTCCAATCTCCCTCATAACCATTTTTCTCTATTGTTTGAATTTGGTGCTTATTCTTTCCTGCCGGGCAACACATTTACCATTCATGAATGCATGGTAGTTATACTAATAATTAATTAGTAGTTTGTGATTCTTCATGTACCAGTCACTGAAAAGAACTACATAAATGTTAGTAACAGTGTGACAAGTGGTAATACGTTCTTATCTTATATATACAGTGGACCCCGGTTAACGAACTTTTTTCATTCCAGAAGTATGTTCAGGTGCCAGTACTGACCGAATTTGTTCCCATAAGAAATATTGTGAAGTAGATTAGTCCATTTCAGACCCCCAAACATACACGTACAAACGCACTTACATAAATACACTTACATAATTGGTCGCATTTGGAGGTGATCGTTAACCGGGGGTCCACTGTAATTAAATTGCAGCTCGGTTATTTGGAGGAATAATTATAAACTTTTATAAAAAAAATCTGTCTTTTGGACAATTATTTTTCATATATATAACAACATATAACATATCCCTCTCCTGCAGCAACTTTGTAATCTTGAAATTATTATAAATTAATTTTGCATTTTAGGGATAATTTTCATTCTTTATACAATGTGAAATGGTTATACATTTTTTTATTTTTTTTTTTCTCAACAAGTCAGTCGTCTCCCACCGAGGCAGGGTGACCCAAAAAAGAAAGAAAATCCCCAAAAAAAAAATACTTTCATCATCATTCAACACTTTCACCACACTCACACATTATCACTGTTTTTGCAGAGGTGCTCAGAATACAGCAGTTTAGAAGCATACACATATAAAGATACACAACATATCCCTCCAAACTGCCAATATCCCAAACCACTCCTTTAAAGTGCAGGCATTGTACTTCCCATTTCCAGGACTCAAGTCCGACTATATGAAAATAACCGGTTTCCCTGAATCCCTTCACTAAATATTACCCTGCTCACACTCCAACAGATCGTCAGGTCCCAAGTACCATTCGTCTCCACTCACTCCTATCTAACACGCTCACGCACGCTTGCTGGAAGTCCAAGCCCCTTACCCACAAAACCTCCTTTACCCCCTCTCTCTTTACATATCTTTACTAAAACATTGAAACTGAAATCTAATATCTGGTGCTGTTTTGCTGAAACTGAAATCTAATGTCCGGTGTCGTTTTGCAGTATCCAGAAATCACGTATATCCTGTTTGTCGCCTTCCTGATTCTGATGTCCATTATAATCATGAACTTGCTGGTGGGTCTGGCCGTAGATGACATTAAAGCCGTACAGGACCAAGCTATACTCAAGAGGCTTGCAATGCAAACCCAGGTAAAACATTAGTTTCCATCTGTAGAACAACTATGGTTGTACTGACAGTACTGTAGGGCCCCATTTATACAGCAGGTTAGATCCAGGCTTCTGTAGGGCCCCATTTATACAGCAGGTTAGATCCAGGCTTCTGTAGGACCCTGTTTATACAGCAGGTTAGATCCGGGCTTCTGTAGGGCCCCCATTTATACAGCAGGTTAGATCCAGGGTTCTGTAGGGCCCCATTTATACAGCAGGTTAGATCTAGGCTTCTGTAGGGCCCTATTTATACAGCAGGTTAGATCCGGGCTTCTGTAGGGCCCTATTTATACAGCAGGTTAGATCTGGGCTTCTGTAGGGCCCCCATTTATACAGCAGGTTAGATCCAGGCTTCTGTAGGGCCCTGTTTATACAGCAGGTTAGATCCGGGCTTCTGTAGGACCCTGTTTATACAGCAGGTTAGGTCCAGGCTTCTGTAGGGCCCCCATTTATACAGCAGGTTAGATCCAGGCTTCTGTAGGGCCCTGTTTATACAGCAGGTTAGATCCGGGCTTCTGTAGGGCCCTGTTTATACAGCAGGTTAGATCCGGGCTTCTGTAGGGCCCCCATTTATACAGCAGGTTAGATCCAGGCTTCTGTAGGGCCCCGTTTATACAGCAGGTTAGATCCGGGCTTCTGTAGGGCCCCATTTATACAGCAGGTTAGATCCAGGCTTCTGTAGGGCCCAGTTTATACAGCAGGTTAGATCCGGGCTTCTGTAGGGCCCCGTTTATACAGCAGGTTAGATCCGGGCTTCTGTAGGGCCCCGTTTATACAGCAGGTTAGATCCGGGCTTCTGTAGGGCCCCGTTTATACAGCAGGTTAGATCCGGGCTTCTGTAGGGCCCCATTTATACAGCACGTTAGATCCGGGCTTCTGTAGGGCCCCATTTATACAGCAGGTTAGATCCGGGCTTCTGTAGGGCCCCGTTTATACAGCAGGTCAGGAACTAAATTATACAATTATTTTACAGATGGTACTAGATGTAGAAATGCTGATTCCAGAAACACTGAGAAGAATATATACCATCTCCAAGAAAGTCGTGCATCCTAATGCTCACCATAGGCTGTTTCCCAAGCTCTTTGGCGATTTCCAGTTTATGAAGACCTTCGATTATTTTGTACACGAGGAACAGGTGAGCATAATTTTAATATATTTCTCACACTTACATAATAGGGGGATTAAATTTCAGAGTATGCACTGGCATTAGTTTTGTTTCATTATAAATTTTTCATAGTTTATTTACACGCTAATAAAAAAAACTATAATGACATTTAGATTCGTACATCAGTTACCTGTATTAATGACAACATTTCTGCCAGACAATAGGCTTCAATAAGTCTACTATGAGGGCAAAATGTGGATAATATATCCACTGCATTTATGTATTATATACTCAATTATGTCAGCATTTACATACCATTACAGTGCCAGTAAAGTATAGTATCTTCTATTCCTTCTTGGCTTTCATGCACGGTAGTATTTTCAATTTTCTTGGCCTTTACAATTTGGGTATTTGTAAACCTGAGGTAGAGTCCTAAGATTGGTCCCAATACTGCTTTATTTAACAGTATGTATTACTCTACAGATGCTTACTTACTTTACGATGGATCTACTTATTATATTTCAACTTCACAATGGTGTTATAAAACACTTTTTTGTACTGTATATTTATTGATAGGATAAATTTGTATTCATTTATTTACTTCTCAACACTGTTATTTAGTCACTGTAATTATTTATTAACTTATTCGCCAAGTTATTTATTTACTTGATTTTTATATCATATTCAACTTACAACATTTTCGAATTATGACGGTGCGTTGGAATGTATCTGGAAAGACAGTTAAAGAAGAAGTGATGGTGTCTGCTCCTTTCAGCAACCCAGTCTGGGTGTGACACAGCTATTGTCTAGCAAATTTTGTTTTTTAAATACTAGACATTTCCCACCAAAGTTGGGTGACCTGAAAAATAGAGAAGATGCATTCACAGTTATCCTCTCAATCACTGCCTTTCCAGAAGTGCACTGACATCACAGGTCGCATGACCCTCAAAATAGCAACATCTTCACCCCTACAGAGTGCAGGCATTGTATGTTCCATCACCAGTACTCAAGTTCTGTATCTCATATACAATAGATACTTTGTTTTCAAAGTAGACGCATACCACATTGCAAGGATGGAGTAGCAGTGTGTTAGATGCAGTGAAATGCCTTCAGATGCTTGAAGTACTGCGTGTAGTATATATATTGCCCTTTTTAGGTAGAATTAGCAATTTGCATTGATAAACATATCTCTCTCTCTCTCAACACACCGGCCGTATCCCACCGAGGCGGGGTGGCCCACCGAGGCGGGGTGGCCCAAAAGGAAAAATGAAAGTTTCTCCTTTTACATTTAGTAATATATACAGGAGAAGGGGTTACTAGCCCCTTGCTCCCATAAACATATATAAACAGTAATAATAATTTTGTTTAACGATGTACACAAATACAAAACACAAAAGCCCGTAATAAGGACGGCATTTCAGGCAAACTAAGACTACTTAATACTAGAAAACTAAATAGTTTTTGAGTTCTTTGCACTTAAGAATCTAGTAAAAGGTAATGACAACACGTTAAAAATAATAGGCACAAATTAGATTAAAAAAAAATCACTAAAATTACAAACTGTAATTGACAAGTTGACATTGGTTGACTGGTAGTTTATAGAATTACAATAAAAGATTAATTTTCAATTAAAGATTTGTAAATAAAAATGTTAATTGACAAGCTAGACATAATAAAAAGATAATTATTGAAATTACAATAATCTTATGGTAATCCTGCCCGACCTATCTTTGATCACCCTAAGTTTATTCACTAATTTAACATCAGTGAAACATGTCAATTTTATTATCACAACTCCGTGGAATTATGGCAATAAATATACACGATATGTTTGGCAAAATAATCGTTGCTTTGAACTAAGATTACCTATAAAAGCACGGCATCCACACCAGATGTACGTTTCTCAACATGTATGTATATGTATATACAGTACACCGAGAGGATTTAAAGTACCTTTAATGTTAGAGATTATACTACCGTATTTTACGGCATACAAGATGCTCCGGTGTCAAGGACACCTTCCCAATTCTGATTGGCTAAATTTTGGAAAAAAAAATATATAACAGTACTTTGGCCTCCAAGATGTTACGTAAATTTGAGACATTTTGGGAAAAAAAAAGTCTTCAGTACCATAAAATACAGTGGTAACTCGAGTTACGAACTTAATTTGTTCCAGAAGGTTGTTCGAGTGCCGATACCAAACGAATTTGTTCCCATAAGGAATAATGTAAATTAGATTAGTCCATTTCCGACCCCCAAAAATACACTTAAATAATTGTTCAAGCTGGGAGCCGTTCCAAACTTGAGGTGCCATTGTATTTAGATTGTTGCAATAACGATCCTCATTTAGGTTATAATCCATGAACCTAACAAGCTAGTAGTACTATAGAAGAGTAAATATTGATAAAAATTTTGTGATGAGCCGCAGGCTGGGATTAAGGAATACCTGAAGACTCATCTGGTGAGTTATTTTACGAGTGACTGTGTACCTCCTGGTCCGTCAGTAATTACACCTTTTAGCACATCCTAACTTGCAGTGCTTGGTTATGATTATTATAATAATGTAAATAATTATGCATCGTGGTTTGAATTGAATTTTTAAAATCTTGAATTTCTTGTTTACTAATACATTTTAAACATTCACTGAAATTTTCTTCAGTGCATAGAGTTGCAGCAAAAATCTGTTTCATTATGTTATGAGTTCATGTTTGAGCTCAGAATCTCACATTGGATGCTTAAAATGATAGGCAAGATAAGCTTTCATTTGGATTTTTAACCCTGAAGGGTTAGCCTTAAGAAAGGCTAACCCTCGATGATGCACTGCCTAAGAAAGGCAGTGCATCATCGAGGACTGTCTTATTTCCATTGGGGTCCTCAATCTTGTCCCCTAGGATGTGACCCACACCAGTCAACTAACACCCAGGTACCTACTTGCTGCTAGGTGAACAGGACAACAATTGTAAGGAAACACGTCGAAATGTTTTTACCCTGCTGGGAATCGAACCCGTGCCCTCCGTGTGTGAAGCGAGAGCTTTGCCAGCCAGGCAAATCAAGTTTATTCTCTAAGGATTACAATGCTGAGTTTACAGAATTTGGATATTGTGTGGTTTACATGTTTAAAATACTAATTACAGAGTGGGCCACTAGAACACCTAGCATGGCTAGGCATTTTGGGCAGACTTAGATTAATTCTTAACTTTAAAATATTACAAATTATGAGGTAAGTTGGTATTATGGCTAAGTGACTAAATACTAGTTTGTGAATTTAGCAATGTGAATGCTTTTGTTTTGGTTTTTTGGATTATACAAAAATTTAAGTTTTTCTGAACTACATATATGGTCCTAGCAGCATCAGGACTTGAGTGTGAGAAATCTGAGGAGTGTTGTTCTATATATCATGTGCGCGCTTGTACTTACCTGTTTCTGAAGAAGCTTCAACTCTGACTTATCCTATGAACATTAACATCCATTCCTGCAAATTTGTATTCTATTATAGAGTGCCCTCTCTAGTGCATCCCATATACCCACTGCTTACATTTCCACTGTTACCTTTCCTACTACTTCCTTATAGCATATATTTTGTGATATATGCTTTTTTTTTTTTTTTCTCCAAGGGGAAGTGGAACAGAATTCTTCCTCAAAAGCCATGCACATCATAAGAGGCGACTAAAATGCCAGGAGCAAGGGGCTAGTAACCCCTTCTGTATACATAACTAAAGTTAAAAAGAGAAACTGCTTTTCTTTTTGAGTGACCCTGCCTTGGTGGGATACAGCTGGTTTGTTGAAAAAAGATGTGCTTTTTTGGCTAATGCAGACCATTTCTCAAATTCTGAAAGCCTCTGGGTATTTTAAATTCCAATAATGTACGTAATTATATTTTTAAAGACTTACAGGCCTATTAATTTGATAAACTTTTAAGATTTTTGGTAAGTAGCAGAATTTAGCGAAGTACTTCATTTAAGTGTTCAGCAGAAGTTTGTGGTTACAGGAAAGTGGGTGCGGGAGGGAAGAAGAGCGATTGGTGGAATGATGATGTAAAGAGAGTAGTAAGGGAGAAAAAGTTAGCATATGAGAAGTTTTTACAAAGTAGAAGTGATGCAAGGAGGGAAGAGTATATGGAGAAAAAGAGAGTGGTGAAGCAATGTAAAAAGAGAGCAAATGAGAGAGTGGGTGAGATGTTATCAACAAATTTTGTTGAAAATAAGAAAAAGATTTGGAGTGAGATTAACAAGTTAAGGAAGCCTAGAGAACAAATGGATTTGTCAGTTAAAAATAAGAGAGGAGAGTTATTAAATGGAGAGTTAGAGGTATTGGGAAGATGGAGGGAATATTTTGAGGAATTGTTAAATGTTGATGAAGACAGGGAAGCTGTGATTTCGTGTATAGGGCAAGGAGGAATAACATTTTGTAGGAGTGTGGGAGAAGTTCGTGAGGCAGTAGGTAAAATGAAAGGGGGTAAGGCAGCCGGGATTGATGGGATAAAAAGAAATGTTAAAAGCAGGTGGGGATATAGTTTTGGAGTGGTTGGTGCAATTATTTAATAAATGTATGGAAGAGGGTAAGGTACCTAGGGATTGGCAGAGAGCATGCATAGTTCCTTTGTATAAAGGCAAAGGGGACAAAAGAGAGTGCAAAAATTATAGGGGGATAAGTCTGTTGAGTATACCTGGTAAAGTGTATGGTAGAGTTATTATTGAAAGAATTAAGAGTAAGACGGAGAATAGGATAGCAGATGAACAAGGAGGCTTTAGGAAAGGTAGGGGGTGTGTGGACCAGGTGTTTACAGTGAAACATGTAAGTGAACAGTATTTAGATAAGGCTAAAGAGGTCTTTGTGGCATTTATGGATTTGGAAAAGGCATATGACAGGGTGGATAGGGGGGCAATGTGGCAGATGTTGCAGGTGTATGGTGTAGGAGGTAGGTTACTGAAAGCAGTGAAGAGTTTTTATGAGGATAGTGAGGCTCAAGTTAGAGTATGTAGGAAAGAGGGAAATTATTTCCCAGTAAAAGTAGGCCTTAGACAAGGATG